TGGTGTGTGGAATATCCAGGGGGATATCCAGGGTTAAAAAAAAACCTGTGGAAAAAAAAAAAGTGGAGCGGTGGATGCAGGAGCAGTGTGCGCCGCTCAAAAACCAGAGCCAGGCTGGCTGGAGCCATGCTCTGCTCCTAGCCAGGCTCTACATGGCAAGATTGCCACTGCTGCAGCCCGGGGAGGCCCCCAGGTAAGGTTGCTGGGGCCAGCACAGTGCTGGGGCCAGCACAATGCTGGCCCCAGCCTCCCCTACCCCACTCAGGGTAACTTGCCTCATGCCAGAGGGTACATAGAATAGACATTCCCTGGCAAGAAGTAGTAGTGGCACAAGGAGCACCACTACTAGCTGTCCCTGGGGAACCAAAAGTCCACGCATGTGTAGACGCAGGCACTGAGTTAATCTATAAGATGTACTTCTACCTTGCCTTTTGCCTATATTAAAACATGTTAAAGAATATAAAGGCCCATCTGATGGGCAAGAAGCTACAGTATATTTCTGAAAGCCTGTGTAGTACTTGTATAAATAACTATGGCTTAATTAGTAACGTATGTGATAAACGCAGTGCTACCTTACATCACTGCAGTTACATAGGGCAAAGAGCATAAGTGTACTCACTCATCTTTTATTAGACCAACTGAATAGTTGGACTCATCTTAACTTTAAAGAGAATCTGCAGAGCACTGGATAATGGAATGGCCTACTGAATCTTTATAGCTTCTGATAAAATTAGCCCTGCTCATGAAAACTTCTGCTATAGACTAGCTAAATGAGTGATGCAAATCTACTCTGACTTCTGCCTACTGAATCTCTCTCATGACCACAATGGCCAGGCTTTTTGGGAAGGGCTTAGGTCTGTAGGACTTGTATGTTGTGGGATTTTTTTGTATGAGGATAGGGTACTGGGTTTGCAGGAACTGAAGAGGGGAATGTTTGGAAGAAGGGATGTTGATTGTCAAAAAGACCTTTTTTTTTTTTTTTTTTTTTTTTTACCGTGAAGTATCTGATCACATTTTTAATTGATTATTAGGGTGTGAAGATCAGAGAATAAACTTTAAGGATTACATATAAAAAATTAAAAACAAATAAGACGAAGTCATCCGGTATGAGGCAGCAATAACTACAGACAAGTATCAATTTGTTGCAGTGGAGAAGGGAGAGTTTCACAGAAAAGCAAATGTAGTTAGACAGACTGAATTAGAATGATAACTTTAGTAGCTGCATTTCAGATGGACTGGAAGTGAGAGATATAGGTATCAGAAAATGGAGGACAAAATTAGAGCAATCAAAATAAGAAAGACTGGAAATACTGGGAGAAAATGAGAATTTTTACAAATGTCATGAGGGGAGAAGTGGAAAGATCTTGACAGTGCAGAAGTGAAGGGGATGGTCAGAGGAAGATGAGATGGTGGTGCTGTAATGTAGTGTTGAAGAAAAAAAACGAGGAAAAGAAAATATGGTCTGTTTTAGACTTACTTTTAAAAAAGGCCCGAAAGAGAAGCCAAGAGGTGGAAATGAATAAAAGAGAACAGATCAGATATGGAGACATAGATTTTTAATTTGATACTATAGAAATGACAGGAGCCAAATATTTTGGTCATCTAGTATATATAAAACGTTGCTGTAAGCAAGACATGAGAGTTTTGTTCTGAACTCCTTGCTTGTTCTAGCTCTTTAGCTTTATAAGAGATGTCAGAAAACTGATAAAGAAAAAATTCTATTTTCCTCCCTACGAAATCTGATCAATGTACAGAAAGATCTTCGATTTATCCACCCCTTAGAGCTATATAAAGTCTAAAAAGACCATAAAAACTATTCATAAAGTAAACCAAAATCAAAACTGAAACAGATCTTCCCATGGAAAAGGCCTCCAGAAATAAGTCTTATTTCTTTACAAAATACATTAAAACTACAAGTGCAGATAAAGGTGTGATCAGATCTAATGCATGATCCACACAATCGTGCAGAGAAGTCATTATGGGACTGCAAATTAGATCCCATCACATCTTATTGCCAGTGCAGGGGGAGCCTTGCTTACTCTGACATGCTCACTCATTCTCAGTGAAACTCTCTGATATTCACTCACCCTTACAAACACACACTAACACTCTCAGACACTCGCTCACTTTCACTAACACTCAATGACCCTAACTCTTCCTTATTAACACTCACTAACACCCTCACTGAGGCTCATTAACACCCACTCACCCGTAATAACTCAGTAATACTCATTAACACACACGCACTCTCATAAAAGTTAACTCTCATTGACATTCACTCATCCTCACTAACACTCATTCACCCTCACTAAAACTGACACCCCCCACTCGCTAACCCTCACCCTCAATAACACTCAGTCACCCCACTAGCTATCTCTGAGACACATCCTACAAACTCATATAGGATTTTGTGGTTGAGTCAGCCTTGAAGAAAAGCTATGAAAACACCAAAATATGAAGAACTACAGAAAGATGATTGCTTAAATTTCTTTTAAAACGTAACTACAGAAGGAAAAAAAAAAAAAAAAAATCACACCATGCTTTAACAACATTAAAATACCTTACCTAACAGCATCTGTGTCAAACTGCAGATTGGGTTTATCAATTAAACCCAAAGAATAGAGCTGATAAGCCAAAGCACACTTCCCAACCATAAACTGGGCTGTGTTTGTGCGATCTAAACAGTCAACACAATTTGTTCGGAGAACACCAGTCTAGAAAAAGGAATCAAAATAACAGTGAGATTGTTTGATGGGCCACCAAATGATTACTCATGTTTATTGGGTTTAGTGGTTTTCCAGGACTCTTGTCAAATTTAAAATACTTAATTTTATGTCAATTCACAGCAACTTGAGTAAAAAGAGTAAAATATTTAAATCACTGTTGGACTGTAGTTGCTTGTGTTATAGCTTGAAAACCTTAATTCTCAATACTGTTAATTTGATAAAAGTAAGGCTACACTGATCTAGTCTTCCCCCTCAAACACCACTGTGGTTTACTTATTTAAAAAAAAATCATGGGTGCCATTTTGTTATGGAGATTCCAACTTGTAGTTTTACTACCAATGCTGAAAAACAAAGAACATGCTGCCATGTTGCTGCTATTGTAGTTTAAGCTTTCCAAATTGTATGAACCTTCTGCTCAAATTCACTCTTCTGCACACATTCATATAAGTTAAAGGGAAACAATGCTTCTCAACAACATCAGGTACTGTTTATAGACTATATAATCAGGACAGTAATGTTTAAATTCATAAATTGGTAATTCACCCTTTGACTATCCTAGACACAAATTATTTATATTCAAAGAGCCTTCATTTTAATTTTAAAGCAATTGTAACCATAACAATGCATGGAATGCACAACAATGAAGAGGAAAATGTTTTTAAAAATGTATAATTCATTGTAAAGAAATTTACTATTAGAATGAAGAATGTTTATGTTCCACCTACATCTTTTATATTTTAATATTTAAATTAATATTTTATATTGAAAAGTACACTTCTGATTGTTAGACAAGATGTAAACAGTTGTTAAAAACTTACGTACTATACATCTTATCCTCTACATACCATGCAGCTTGTTGCCTTACATGATGTTAATTTTAGAAAGGATGACAACTTCAGCAAGGCTAGTGGCATTATCACTACCTTAAGAAATTAAAATTTAAAATGTAATTATTTTCTCAGATTATGCGTGACAAGAAGGAACCCTCCAGTAATGCAGCATTTCACAGTATCATGCAAGGACAGTGTGGTTTTATTTGCAAATGAGACCCTGAGTAGTTTGGTAATACACATTTATATTAATGAAATACTCAAAGGGAAGACAGCCACATACTAAATCATCAGCAACTTTCCTGAAGCATCTATGTTAGATGGCCGTTTTGAGGTGACCTATCAGAGTACTGACATCAGTACTCATTCAGACACCAGTACAACTATATTAGTAAATTAGTACTACTTCAATACCTGTAAGCGACCAGTGGAAACAACAACGCCTCCTAGTTCATTCCATCTGGAAAAAAAACAAGACAACATTCCTTACAAACTGTATTTATTAGAATATGAGGGGTTATATTATAAAGGGTCTGCTTAATGAAAAAGGAAGAATATGAGGGGTTATATTATAAAGGGTCTGCTTAATGAAAAAGGAAGAAGCATTTTTTTGAGTGCTCAATGAAAGCTATACCAAGTTGATAAAATAAGTGTTGCAATTCCAAGTCCAACTTTGGAATAAATCATAATCGTACAAAAACAGGGTTGCAAGGGACCTCAGGAGGTCATCTAGTTCAACCCCCTGCTCAAAGTAAGATGGTTCTAAACTATATAAATCCCAACCAAGGCTTTGTCTAGCAAGGTCTTAAACACCTCCAAGGCTGGAGACTCCACAACCTCTCTGGGTAGCCTATTCCAGTGCTTTACTACCCTCTTCATGGCAAAGTTTTTCCTAATATCTAAACTAAACTTAACAAGCACCCATGAGCATAAGGCCTTCATCAATTCAATGTATAAAAAGACCATCAGCATCATGAAAAAAAGGGACAGCCAGGAAAGGCACTGGGTTATATAAAAGATGCTGATACTCAGAGCTGGAAGCTGGTGGCTCGTCACCTCTGGCAACAGAAAGCACTCCTCTTCTGAACTCATGGTTATTCAGCTGGAGAGCAGGTATGAAGCTCTGACATTGGATGAGGACCCTTTGAGATGCAACTAGCAAGGGACAGAAAATGCAATAGAAAGGGATTCTACATGTATGTAAAGAATAAGGGGAAGATCAAAGAAATCACAGGTTCTTCATGGCAGGGGTGTAAAACTAATCTAGCCATGTGGGCCAGATGAGGGTTGCTGGGCCAGTCTGAGCTGGATCAGGATCATGCACCATAGCCAATGTGCAAGGCCAACGCAGCAGGACGCCACATGCAGTGCGTGCCTGATGCAGCTGCCAAGGTAGGCCAAAGATTCAGAAAGCTTGAGAACTCCATATATTACACTAATTCATTAAGGCAAAACAGGAGAATTGACTCTTCAAGGCATAAGTTTGATAACATTTTTATCATTACTTTAAAAGTTAATTTTTTTAGAAGCATTTAGAGAGTTCTGGGAACCTATAGTGGATCAGACTGCTATTATTCCTCAGCAGTTTTGACAGTTATATATAATTTTTGTTTTGTTTTCTAGAATATGTGCCATTTTTTAATGTTTATAGACATACTAATATCTTAAAACATTTAACAGTTATAAATGGCAGGTATTTTTCTGGTACTTCAAGAAGAGCCTCTTCCTTAAAATTTCAAATTTTGTTTGCTTGCTTTGTTCATGTACTGCAAAATTGGTTTTCATACACAAAATACAGCAGACAGTGTGTGATCTGAAAAGTAGCAAAAAGCAGATTTGTCCCATCTTTCAAAAATGCAGTATGTATTTAAACAAACTAGGATGAAACCCTAATTTTAGAGTTTGCATTGTAAAAAAATGTTCTAGCCTAAACCAACAATTACAAAAAGGATCGTTTCACACATACAAATATTAGCTATGAAGAATGGCATAATTTGAGAAATATTCTATGTTTGTTCACTGCATTAATAATGTATAAAATGAACCCCTTTGGCTGCAGTTTTCTTTTTCATTCTAACTAAGCAGTATTTTATATTACTGGAAGTCTTAAAAAAATTATGTTAAAGACAGTACATAGTGCATGCACTTGTAAAACTTTCATATAAAATGTATTACAGGCAGTCCTCGACTGACAACTTTGCGTTACAATGTTTTGCACTTACAATGTTTATAAATTGACACCATTTCAACTTTGATGACAGTTTCAACTTTACAATGCTTGATCTGATGCCATGCCAGCGAACAAGTTCACTGCGTCGCCCATCTCCCTGGAGAACATCTATCCAAACTTCCTTGGACACGTTAAGAAAGCAGACGAGACTCCAGAAAAACCTGAAAACACTGCAGCCAAGAGCCCTTCAAACAGTTCAGCAAGATCACCTCAAAGAAGTCCTTCCAAATCAATATGATTGCTATTTACAATATAAATACATTAATGTAGCTATATTACTCATCTATAATTGACTGACTACAAAATTTGTTTTTTTGGGTAAAAATAGGGTAATTGAGCCTTGTTTCAGGAACCAATCCCCCATTCATAACATTGTTTCCTATGGGAAAATCAGTTCTGAGTTACAATATTTTGACTTAAGACACGGTTTTCAGGAACCAATTATGTCGTAAGTCCGAGGACTGCCTGTATATGTATTTTTTCAATTGTTTTTCCTTGTTAACATACATACTTTTCATCTGGCCGCAAGGTACTGCAGTACGAATCAGGACGATTCACAAAGAATCCTGTCTTCTTTACTACACTTTCTGCGATCACATTCAATCTGTCCAGGACATTGCACAGTTTGCTGGAGAAAGAAAAACCCAGAACATCTGTTGATTTCCAAGAGACTATCCAACTGGTGAAAAATGATATTCCTTGTAAAACAAAAAAAGTGACTGCAGTTCACACTGTTCTTTTAGCTACTTAACTTTATGTCAATACTGTTCTTGCCAGTCGTTACGCTTCACAAGAATAAAGGGACATGAACAACCTGTAAATACGTTTCTTTATTTCTGTTAGTAACAAACCTTTAGCATACTAAGAGAGGGATTTTAAAAATCTTTTTAATACTATGTGCCTTTTATGGTGCTGTTTTTCATCCATATAACTTTAAGTACTCCACAAAAAAAAGGATATGATAGATTAACTATGAACACACATTTCATTTAATGAGTAGTATTTTGGTTTGTAGCCTTCAGTTTACAATGTGACACTCCTCCGTAAGCTAGAAAGAACAAGCACTTTGTGGCGGGGGTTTGACACTACCAAAAAAAACGGTGTCCAGGAAATTATGACAGAGCCATTAATGTTGAAAGACG